CCACATTTTTTACTATAGGAAGCTGGGAACCAGACTAAATAATAGAGATTTTTATGAAGAGTACTCATGGTCAGAGAACTCATTTCTTAAGATTTTGTGGGTTAGTTCCCTTAGGCATAAGACCACACACTTGTAAGGCTGACTTAAAATGGTGGTGTTTGGTTACTTATGTACATTTTCCAAAAAATAGATAAATACAGAATCCCTAAAGAAAGCCCAACACGGCAAAATTGAAAATGTTGCAGGCTCGGTTTGAGTGAGCCTGTTCATGGACGGTACTGGAAAGTGCAAGTTACCGTCCATGCCCCCTAGCACCGGCTTAAGCAGAATTCAACATTTAAACATGAAATAGTAAAATTGTGAATTTAGAAACATCAGCAGATGTGTTCATACGGCGGTTATCATGGAACCTTCAATCTGACACTTCCGTGCCATTCCATGAAAAGCGGCGTATGGTCCCCAAGTAATAAAAAGCGTGTGCCCTAAACGAGAAAACAATGGGCGGAACTAAATAAAATGGAATTTTGAAAGGGGATCAGAGGTTATGAAGCCTGCGTATCACAGATAAAACGTCAAAAGACAAATTTAAAAAGCAGGCAACATATCCTAAGGGTGATTCAATATTATTCAAGTAGGAATATTGGAACCACCCAACAAGAAAATTCCGTAAAGTTGAAACTAAAAATACCACAAGCACAACAATAATGTCGTGCTGAACGATCTTCAAGGATCGAAAATATAACATCATTGATTAAATGTACGGGGAGACATTTTACAGCCGCCACACGGCACAAATAACACGGATGTGATCATAAAATAGATAAATACAGAATCCCTAAAGAAAGCCCAACACGGCAAAATTGAAAATGTTGCAGGCTCGGTTTGAGTGAGCCTGTTCATGGACGGTACTGGAAAGTGCAAGTTACCGTCCATGCCCCCTAGCACCGGCTTAAGCAGAATTCAACATTTAAACATGAAATAGTAAAATTGTGAATTTAGAAACATCAGCAGATGTGTTCATACGGCGGTTATCATGGAACCTTCAATCTGACACTTCCGTGCCATTCCATGAAAAGCGGCGTATGGTCCCCAAGTAATAAAAAGCGTGTGCCCTAAACGAGAAAACAATGGGCGGAACTAAATAAAATGGAATTTTGAAAGGGGATCAGAGGTTATGAAGCCTGCGTATCACAGATAAAACGTCAAAAGACAAATCCAAAATCGAGTGAAAATAAGAAATTGTTAATTAAAATTTGCAAAACAGATTGGTAGCTGTTGACTTTTAAAGAACTCTTTTACCATATTGAACTCATGATTAAGAAAATGTTGCAACGGTCTTGCCGGTAAATTCTTGCATGTCAAACAGGATTATCTACCGTTTACACCGGTGCTAGAAAACCCTGTCTTACACCCCCATGTAAGACAAGTCGCGTGCTTTAAATGACGTCATTGTCGCGCGCCTTTAATGAATGAATTGTGTTCTTAGGATGACGTCACTTAACCGTTATGAATGAAGTTGTGAGTTCATACGCTACTATAAGCAAAAGTGCGTAATGAGAATATTAGTTTTCGTAATTTCTGTTCTGAAAATAATTGATATGTAGAGCCTCGTTACCGCCGTAAACAGTTACCCTCGAGCTAGATAATATTATTCCGGTCTGTACCGGCAGCCAGTGTAAGATTCTTATATTCTTGCATCTCAGACAGGATTATCTACCGTTTTCACCGGTGCTAGAAAACTCTGTCTTACACCCCCCCCCCCCATGTAAGACAAGTCGCGTGCTTTAAATGACGTCATTGACGCGCGACTTTTATGAATGAATCGCGTTCTTAGGATGACGTCATTTTTCCGTTATGAATGAAGTTGTATGTTCATACGCTACTATAAGAAAAAAGTGCGTAATAAGAATATCAGTTTTCATAATTTCTGTTCCGAAAGAAATTGACATTTAATATGCAAGAAAAAGAATCAAACACCGGCTGTTGGTACAGACGGGAATATATCTAGCTCTCGGGAAACTGTTAAGCGGAAACTCGGCAGAGCCTCGTAACCGCTGTAAACAGTTACCCTCGAGCTAGATATTCCGGTCTGTACCGGCAGCCGGTGTAAGATTCTTATAGTATTCACATTTGAATGATTTGAAGGTGGTATAGCCGATATAATAATTCTTTCACTATAATATACAGATTCATGTATGTATTAACATATCCCACGTAAATATTTGTATTGTAGAAGATGATTCCACTAAACATAAAGAGAAAGAATGTTTTAAGAAAATCAAAAACGGTAATTTAAGAGAAAAATGATGCAGACTCGGCTTGATTGAGCTAGCTAATTAAGTCTCACTTCAGTTCTTAATTATAGTCAAAATAACAATACAACATTGTGAGACGTGTTAGACAATTATTTGTTGTAGACTAGTATGTAATATAAAAAGTTTCTTGTGTTGATGTAAACAACATCTAACAAACGGAGTGTTCTTTCAAAATTTCATTACGTTTGCTGTTTAGAAAAAAGTTCTCATTGCATTTATAGCTAAAAGGCTTCCCAAATTTTAAAATGGTTTTGACATTTTAACGGCGATGTGATGCTGTTGCGGTGGCGATTTTCAAACAAAAATGTATTACAGGAAAAACCATTCTATGTTTTGTATTTGAGCCGTGTCACGACAAAACCAAATAGTAGGTTTGCGACCAGCATGTATCCAACGCGCAGTCTGATCAGGATCCATGCTGTTCGCTTACAAACTCTATAACAAGTAGAGACACTGATAGCGAACAGCATGGATCCTGATCAGACTGCGCGGATTTTTCTATGTATAATTTCACGCTCATGACTTTCTTTCAATATATAGCTGGAGTAGGACGAATAGCGCAGGAAGTTGACAATATTTCAAAATCACACCACCGCAAAAATACTTACTGCAGTCAGTTCTCAACGATTGTCTCGGTGTGATGACATGAAATCTATTTAGAGGTGTATACATAATTATATACGCACGACGCATCTTTTCCAAGAACGCAAAATATAATGTCAATAAATCAAGTCGCTGTCTTCGTCAATAATCCCATTTTCTTCAGCTTAAGTGAAGTTTATTACGGTTTAATATATCTTCATTGATCTTGATCACATTATCAGGACACTACTGGTATTCTAGAATCAAACATATTCCATTTGTATAAAAACTGATATTACACGTTTAAAAAAATACGTTTAAAATTAACACTTGAAAACTCTTAACATATACACAAAATGTATGTGGATATTATTTATTTGCGTATGATAATGCACGCATACAAGATTTGATTGTGCTTATAGGCTATTTACTATAAATTAGAAAATTAAAAGTTAATAGGCTTAGACTAAAGTGTTTAAATTGTTTTATGTGCGATTGAATTAGCGCTTGATAGTTATATTTCATACAGCACCTTTTTTCCAGAATCATGAATTTGTAGAACGTGAAAATGACCCTAATTAGAGGCCTATTAAGCCACTGAAATGTTATTATTTTCATTTCTCAAAAACTTTCATTGTTTGTGTCTTCTTGCTCCGCTGTGTTCAGTGTTGTTTTCACTGCTTCCGAGGAATCGCCCCTTACTGCCAATCATAAAGAATCCCACCTGGTCAGTCAGATGTGATCAAAAGACGAAAACGTAGTGTCCAACAAGTAAAGGATTGCAGTATCATGTTTCAATTGAGTCAGATCTCTTTTAATAGCATGTTTGATATTTTTACCCAAAACAAAAGAAAATATATCATTACCCAAAATATAAGAAAAATGATTTAATCCAATGAAAAGGTTTATTGATATCTTGTCGCAAGAAGTTTTTTGATTGCTGCATTTTTTTAGTATTTGTTTTTGGATTTGATTTGCCAAACCAAATGAGGGTAAATGAAATTAGAACTAATAAAAGATTTATAAAAGTTTCCTCTTTCTCAAAAGCACAATTATTTTACTGACAGTCTTTATTATATTTTTTACAGAGATTTGTTTCGCATTTTTTCCGCAATAAATTATGATAATATCTATTTGAAAATAATATAAATTTTGAGTATGTTAACGTTGTTCCGGTTATAATGTGCATTATATTGGCATAATTGTAAAGAACAACATAATATATGATGTGTGATGTACATGTGATAAAATATATGAAATGATACATGATATAATGCTATGTACTATGTGTAGTACTCGTATTTGTTTAGAACATCCCAGCAAACATGCATATATGGGACCCATATGGGCTATATCTAGGCAAGCCCATATGGGTATGCCCATATTGGACCTATATGGGACCAATATGGGCAAGTCCATTTGGGTACGCCCAAATTGGACCCATATGGGTCCCATATTACAGCACTATAAGGAAAAACGATTTTTCGTTTATTTATTTCTTTAGAACTTGTTTACTTTGAGCTATAGTGTGACCACCTTGGCATAAATTGCTATTATCTTTTATAAAAATCGTAGCATTAACATATATACAAGCCATGAGGGACCCATATGGGTCCCATTCGGGCAACCCAATAAATATTAGCATGCCTGAGCAGGTGCGAGAAATTAATTTGTTTAGTTTTTATATTGGTTTTAATTTTTATAATCTAAATATAAAAATGTGTTTTTTAGACTATTAATTCAGAAATAATTTATAAAAATCAGCATTTGATGAAAAATTTATTTCGAGCATGCGCAGACGTGATTTCCGCTGCCGCTTAAAATCAAATTGTGTATTGAAACGTTAAATTGTAAAATTGTACACGAAAACAATATTTCATTTCAATTCGGAACATTTAACGACGATTTCGTATAACGACCTTTCATATTATATCCTTACAGATTTATTGTGTGTGTAGGTAAGTGTAAACGTCATTTATTTTTTGTTTTTGCCTTTGCCATGTAATTTCGCGATAGTTTTTGTCAGTTTAATTTGCGACATTTTCTAGAATTTACGCCCACTATTAGACACTTTAGCTGGCCTATGGATGTGTGTAGTTGTTATTGTTGAATAAATTAACTGTGACGGAGTCGACACTAACATTTTAATAATATTGTTTCTATCTAGACTAAATTTTAAGAGATCCTTTTTTAAGGGACACCATCATTTGAAATCCAGTGACCCCTCCTAGCCTTAGAAGTCCCTTCCATTTTGTACCAATATTTCATTCATAAGCATTTTAAAATATTAAATGCAAATACTTATTATTACAAATACACCAATAAACACTTTCCCCAACTAGCAGACGACAGGCTATTCTTATCAGTAGGTTTTCGAGTAAAGATAACCGGTTGCGTATCTCGCTGTATAAATCGTATGTAAAATGGTCTGACATATGGTAGGTTTAACAGTTAATTTAAATACTTTGGTGACAAAAATATGTAAAATTATATACTGTGGCAAAGCTAAGATCCCAAGCTTTCCATTGATGTAATAATTTTTAAAATCAGACATTTAATCACCACAAACTAGCGGTTTAAAAATGGCTTAATTTGTATTGTTTTAGCGTAAGAGATATCGATTTTACTCGAAGATAAGGGAAACAACTCGTATTTTTTCACTCGATATACCTCGGTTATTTACGTAGTTCATATGAAAAGTGTTTATGGGTGTATTCAAGTATTTTTTCCAAGTACCAACCAAGCCCTATGTTGCACAGGCACGAGTATCGGACAAATATGATATGACAAAAATATGACCCGAAAGATAATTAAACCTGTGTTCATCTTTAAAAGGTCAAAAACCGAAAAAAATTGTAAATTATACCCCCCTTTAAAAACATACTTTAAGTTAAGAGAAGGCTAGAAACTCCAGATTCGAGCCTGCAAGCAAGTGATTCACTTCCGGGGCCGTTGTGAAAACAATTGTCCAGACAATTAAAAAAATCTTTTATCACTTTCACGTTTGTATTAAGCTTCCAAATGGGACCAAGTCTTTAGCCCTTCCCGTTCATGAAATATCTGTCGGGGGAAACAAACGCATTCATGCTAAAAATCCTTGGTAGACAAAATTGCGGCACAACAATTCGGTACGTAAACATAGACTAGTACATGTTTGCCAGCTGATTATGGGTCATAATCATATTGTCACTTGGCGCAATAACTCACTTAATGTATATGTATTTTATAATTACTTATTAATGTATTTTCATTTTATTGTAAATAGGCCATCAAAAAGGCTGTATGAATCGGATAGTGGCACTGATGAGAATGAGACAGACACAGAGAGTAGGCCACCACAAGTTATTGACCAAGCAACAACGCCCAAAGAGTCACAAAGCCTACTTTCATCTCCGCCTCGCTTATCTGCACAGGCATTGCGAGAGGCCAGCAGTGATGTGCAAAGTGCTTCTCCAATACAAGGTGCTTCTGATACACCCTTCCGTGGGCAGATTATTGGGCCCAGTAAGTATAAACTTCGGAGCTATAAATATATTTATTATTACAGTACATACTTATTAAATGTTATATTCTCAAAACAAGTCAACAAATGTAATAACAAGCGGGATTGAGTGACACAGCCAAAAATGGAAAGTTTCACCTTGTGACGCCCCTAGTTCAAAAAATATTCAAAAGAAATTGATGATTACTTGTGTTAGTCTTTATCATGATGTGAATTTGTGCGCATATTCTTGCCTGACCCCACTACTGTTATCCAAAGTTACGGTCCCTGGAAGAGTCAAGAATGTTTATTTTCACCAAATGACATGCCTAGGCTCAAAAATATGTTAAGTTTAATTCATGATTTCATATCATTTTCACATTTTGTGACCTTGCACACTCAACAATCCTTTTGAGATTTTAGCGTTAATTACTGTTAAAGCCAAGGAAAAATTTAAAATACTGGATTTTTTTCATTTGAGCCGGGTCATGACAAAACCAACATAATGGGTTTGCGACCAGCATGGATCCAGACCACACATAGCTCTAAAAGTATATGGCCTAGAATTATGAATCCTTTTTTTCAGCTGCTGTTACACAGATTCTCCGAGTCTTTGAGACAATGCGAGAGAAGAATCGTGAAATTAAGAGGATGGTGCAGCGAATGCTGTTAAGGTCAGCAGCAGATGACCAACCGCTGCAACTTCCGAAAGATATCTCATTCCCTATTCGTTATCCTGAGCAGATGGAAGCATTCGATAAGCTTCTGGGAGATCAGACAATACTCTCATCTGTGGTAAGCATAGTGTTAGTCATGTATGTTGCTCCATTAGTAACTGGAAAAAGTATACCCCATATCCACTGGCCTAAAAGCGAAATAACATAATGGTCTGTGGTGAGCACTTGATGATAATGTATAATCATTCTGCTATATTTATGTTGGAAAATATTGCACAGTGGACAAACACTTTGCTGCATTAATTTCAGAATTAAAAACTGGCATGTTTTAATTTTTTGATTCATATTGACACAGTTTTGTTATTTATATATGCTATAATAGCCATGAGCACAAGACATGGGCAGTTGGCCTCGTTTTCAACATTAATTATTAATTAGGACAAGACAGTCAATTCATTAATCAAAATGCTGGCAGCTTTCAAAATACCAGGAAAATGACTAGTACCCACAAAATCCAGGAATTGAGCTGTTATTTTATTATCAACAATTATTCTGTTGATATTGAATAAACTCTTGTATAAAAAAAACAATGATAATGTGCCCCATATTACTCGGTGGAGGGGACAAACATAAAGGCACAAGTCACTAAGGTGTTGTCCTAGGCTGTAAATATATGAGGGAAGATCTTTTAATTTGTCAATCCAAACAGTTTTCTCGGCAGATTATGTTTTTGAGGTCCAGTTGACAATTATTTGTCATTTGGTGACTTGCAGCCCATCACTTAGTAGTGTTAAAATTAACGTTAAAAAAGTTTATGTTCTGCTTTATTTAAGGTGCGGTTCCTCTCAATGTTTGGTATGGCAGATGTACGGGAAACTGTTGACCGCTTGATGAAAGAAACCATGTCAAATGAACTGGCAAGAATGTACAATATGAAGTGGCTGAAGGGGAAGGAAAAGTTTGTGGGCCTCTAGATACTGAATGTATTGTATAGTAAGTGATATTTTACAAATTTGCAAAGTGGTGTCTTCAAAATAGATATATTATCCAAGATCTTGTTATTGTGTCTTCGGGTATTGCTTTAATGAAGGAAAATGCTTGACTAGCTTTTATGGAAATTAATAAGAGAGAATATTTTACATGCTGTGTGGTTTTGATCCCATGCATTGTGTTGTGATGCATAATATAAACAGAAATCACCTTCCTGTAAAGCAAGTTATTTGCTTACCTTAACATTCTTTACTGATACACCGATAAGATGATCTCAGCTTACAACTGACTGCAGCGATATCACAGAAATATTGTTAAAAGCTATGTAAAACCAGGAAACAAACATCTATATTTGGTAAAACATACCAGAATTAGTTTATATTCCAATTTATACTGCTCAAAATGCTACAAGGTGGCTTATGACCTTTGAATGGTTTCAATACCTTCATTTCACTTCATTTCATTCTTTAAGGATAAGAATGCTTGTTTTGTAGAATGTGTCCAAAGGAACTTGCCGACAAAGGCTGCAACGAGGAAGGATGTTGAAATAGAGGTTTCAAAGTGGCTGGCTGGCACGCGGGACCGCGATGGGGGAAGAAAAGCAAGAAACAAAGTGTCAGAGACCTTACCTGAAGAAAATGAAGGAAGTGACTAGACATGTTTTTAATCTAAAAATGCAAATTTATAGAGGATATTTGTTTGTTTGTGTGTAAGATGAAATTTTATATCATCAAGAGAGCTTTAAAAACAGTATTCTCATGAGTGGCTATGCGCTCGTGAGAACACTGTTTTTTAAAGTTCCTTCAATGATATAAAATTACATCTTACACAACAAACAATAAAGTGTCTTTTTATTTTATGCTAATGAAATTTCCTCAATATTAACGTTAATATTAAATCTGTTTTCCCCACTGTTAACATCAATTTTAGTTAAATTTAAGTCCCATTTCTCATAAATACAGGAAGTCTTGGGCTGAAAAATAAGTTTGACAATCAACGTTGAATAGCCATGATATTATTTATTGAATTCAAAAAATTTGAATGATGATAAAATCTTTAAAAAGTAGTCTCGTCATAGAAAAGTTTGAAATTTTAATCATTTTACTGTGAAATTATCAAATATATTTTTCACGGATACATCAGTAATACACTCAAAAGCATAAAATAAATGACTTTTATTTTACATTTTCAAACCTTTACTTCATCTGCATATAAGTTATTCCACTGATTGAAAGTCAATATGTATCAAGGTATTTTTAAAATGTGATAAGGGTCAGAACTACAGTAAGCGGCTCATTTGTTTATCTTGTTATACTTTTTGTTGCTAATTTTAATGTTTGAGGTCATCAGCATAGCATGTCTTTCTTGTAAATGCAAAATTCTTGTCTAGTCAAATTTTGCCTTCTAGTCAGTATATTCTGCTGCTATGTTATGTTTGTTGTTGACATTATATGCTGTTTTTCTGTTGTCTATATGCTGTTGTTTTTTTTCCATTAAACATTGTTACTGCACGGAGGAAGGTAGTCTAGTACTGGTGTAACTCTCCAGAAACGATGGTTAGGAAACTACCCGCCTATATGACGTAAAAGGCGTAAAATGAAACAAACAAACAAAAAACATTGTTACTATTTAAATCAAGACATTAAATGCTTGGGGAATGTTTTTGATACTGATCAATACAATTATAACATCTTGTCAAAACTTGACACTAACAGGGAACACATGTATTGATATGGTATTAACCTTTAAAATAAAGTTGGAATACTTTACAATGATGATTCTTGTAATCTTTATTGTTGTTATTGTTGAAACTTTGATAATATCGGAGAAATTACTGAAACCAACTATTTTTACTGACAATTTTTTTAATGAATTTCTTCACAACAAATTTGATCTTTGTGTAATATCACATTTTAATTATTATTGATTTTTACAAACTTGTACAAACTATTTTTTATTTTTCATCAGCTGCATATTTTGTTTACATGTCTATAAACAGTATTTCAATGTGCCAAGATTTTGTGTATTATATTTGTTACTTTTCATTAGCTGCATATTTTGTTTACACGTCTATTAACAGAATTTGTAACAACCGTGCCAACCTTTTGTGTATCATATTTGTTACTTTAGCTGCATATTTTGTTAACACGTCTATATAAACAGTATTACAACCGTGCCAACCTTTTTTGTATTACTTTTTGTTACTTTTCATTAGCTGCATATTTTGTTGACAATTACAACAGTGCCAACCTTTTGTGTATTATATTTGTTACTTTTCATTAGCTGCATATTTTGGCCACACGTCTATAAACAGTATTACAACCGTGCCAAGGTTTTGTTAATTATATTAATTTTTTTTTTCATCAGCTGCATAATATTTTGTTTACACATCTATGAACAGTATTACAACCGTGCCAAGGTTTTGTTAATTATATTAATTTTTTTTCATCAGCTGCATAATATTTTGTTTACACATCTATGAACAGTATTACAACTGTGCCAAGGTTTTGTTTTATTATATTTGTTACTTTTCACGAGCTGCATAACATTTTTTTCTTCAGCACTACCATACCAAAGTGTAATACATGGTTGTTATGAACAACTTTTTATATTAATTGATGTAGATCTATATCATTTGAAAATGAAAGTAATTGGTAGATAGAAATTTGTAATGAATTACAGTAAATGTATAATACTTTTTCTATGAATTATGTAGAAAGTTAAAAAGACATTTAGGGTCTTACTGTTGATTTACTGAAATTTAAACATTATACACATATATTTCTTGGAGTTCCAAAGACCTTCTGTAAAGTTTTACCAGTGTCTAGCATAAGTTTCATTTTTCCTTATAGTGATCTGTAAGGTATCTAATGTTATAAAACTGCATTTTTAATTATTTTGTTCGTACATTATAAACAGTTTTCCATTACATGTTGCTTATTTAGTGTACCAAAGTAATATTTACTACCTGGGACTTTTTGAATAATAATTAATATTTCTGTATTTTTGAATTAAAAACTATGTAGTCAAAATGAAATTCTGTGGATTTACAAATATGTACAGTTTACTTGGATTTTTATATTGTACACTTTTCTAAGTTTATTTACATAAGTAAAGGTTTCTTTGTTGACATCAGGCGTCCACAGAATGTATTGAGAATCTGTATATATATGATATACACTTACCATAAGTGAGATTACTAAATAAAGTTACATTGTTAAAGCATATACATTGTGTATTGTTTTCTTGCATGATCATAAAGGCTTTGTGCCATAATCTGTCTGTTCCAGGAAACAGAATGAGTTAAAACATCACTTGAATATTTAACGCAAGTACAAGAATCATGCTCTGTAGCAAGCGGTTGCTATCTAAACGCTCAGCAAACATATAATTGAAGTAATTGAAAATAGATCTACCCCGGAATTCAAAATCTACCCATAATGGAAGTATCTGGGCTGCCCATTTGAAACCCATATTTAGTACAAGGGCTGCCCAGGTGGGGCCCATATTGTGTACATGGGCTGCCCAGATGGGGCCCATGTGAATCCCATATTGAGTATAAGGGCTGCCCAGATGGGACCCATTTGGAACCCGGTTGCACTTCCTATATGGGGCCCATATGGGCAGCCCAAATGGGACCCATATAGGTGCCCATATGGGCCCCACATGGGTCCCATATAGAATGCTATCTGGGATACTATAAAACAAGACTATTACTTTTGCAGGCCTTTTGTGTAATTCAAACACAAATTTTCTGCATAAAAGTAAGAAAACTGTATATCTTACAAAGTTCCAACAGGCCTACTGATGATTTCAGCCAGTCATTTTGGCCTGCATGTGGCCTGCTGTTATTGAGAACCCTGCGTTTAACGCTGGCGATGCAATTCTCTTTTTTTAATTTATACTTTAATGAAACTTTATTTATTCATTAAATTGCACTTAAAGTAACATTTACAAACATTTCACAACAATTTAATTCAGATTGAATTGGAAAACATGTAATACAACACCTCTCCAGCTAAAGTAATTTTCAAAATAAAGATACAAAAAATTGCGGATAGTCTGTAAGCTCTTTGAATGTACAACGAAAAATTAGAGAATAATTGATTGTTGAATTATCACTATAGAGAGACTTAGGTAACTTACTATGGAGAATTATTAGAAGAAAGGAAGAATGTAAGGAAAAACATGATTGAAAATATCCGATTTTTTTAGAAAATAAACATTTTTAAAATAAACATGTACATGTAAATGAATATGAGCGTTCTGACATGCCAAATTCATTCACACTGAAAGTAATTATTACAATTGTGAAATAGATTTTTGAACATTCTAACACTACTTCGCGCGAAATAGTTCATTCAAATTACAAAAATGTTTGATAATAAAAGTTCTTCGGAATTCTTTTTTTTACATTACTGTAGGTAACGTACTTATTGAGTTACTGAAGGTGTAAGTTTGCTTTGTCTTTACTTTCTTTATATGTTTGACTTCACGTAAACAGTGTATTCTATGTTCTATATATGTTTCACTAAGGTTTTCATTCCATAAAATCTTATTGAGAAAATGTATTCGACGCTGTTTGTGTGACATTAGATATTTCATCATCAATTGGTATTTAAATACCGATTGTGCGGTGTATAGGGGTGCATTTAGTTAATGGGGTTCGATCTTGTTGATCTTTGTTTTCATTATTTTCTAATTATATATTTAGACAACCTTATTTTGAATTTTGAAATTTTGATGATTGCTTTAAAAAATTGCATAAATTTGTTCTTTTTAAATGTATAGTTCTGGATTCATATATTATTACCCAAAACTATATACGGAAAAAAAGCTCTTTTTGCCAAAATGTCACAGTCGCTTTGCGTTGAGTTAGTGATATAAGTATGGTCACTCATCTTTAAATTGATGGAAAAAATGTGACCAAAATTCAGCAAAATTATGAATACCCTTCCTTCAGAACATGCCTTAACATACCCCAGAATGCAGCTATGGCAATGTAGATTTTCAAAATTTTCCGGGGGAGCATGCCCCCGGACCCCCCTAACACAAGTGCCTACACATTGGTTTCTTTCAAGCTACGCCCCTGACTATGGCCAGAAAACGACAAGAACAAAACGGGGGTCAAGTGTATCAACACAGATTTATATTACATGTAATATAAATCCGTGGTATCAATTGATCTACAATATATATTAATATAATAATTGAATTAACATTGTTGTCAACATAACGAGTATGTTAAAGCATATATCTTAAGATCTTTTCCGATGATAAGTTGTTCAAAATAATAATGATGATGATGATGATGATGATGATGGTGGTGGTGATGATGATGATGATGATGATGATGAAATACATTAACATAAAACTTACTGCTAATTGTGTATTAACAAGAACTTTGATTTTACTATTTAGGCACAGATCAATACGTGATTTCCGCTTTTCATGTTTGTTAATAAATAGCTCTACACATATTTAAATCTTAAGTTTAAATCAATATCCTGGTCATAAAAAACGATATGATAAAAATTCTAACGTTTTATTGCCTCTAATAATAATCAACACGTAGTTTATTAGCGTTCCGGATCTCGAATCCCGGGATTTTCCCAACCATCCATTAGGGTCCGGCATCTTACGGACTTTATTCTTTATAAGCAAAACAAAGATGGCGCCTGAGGCATGCGTAAAAAATTAGAATTTGGTTTTGCATAGGTTAGTAATGGTTTAAATGTGTGATGAGCCACGAATATTGTTTAAAGTATTTGTTAATTAGTATTTAAATTATACAGTATCTATTTTGGAGACGAAAATTGCATGCATAATCTGACAAATATTTTTTCCCTATTTTTTTTTGTCTATTTTCAGCTTTTAAATTGCAAATTATGAAATAAGGTGATCACTGATGATCTCGTTTCACTCTCAGACGCTTAAGGGTCAGACCATATCCGCTGGCTTGAACGGTCCCTGTTATCTGTTATGAAGATTAGTGTTTACATAAGTTGTGGAGCCTGCAATCTCTCCCCCCATCCCCCCCCCCGGTAGTCAGACTATTCTCTCCCTTACCAGTTCCTCCCCTGACGTTTCCTCCCTGACGGTTCTCTCCCTATTTTGGGGGAGAACCGTCTGTATCTTTGCAAATAAGCAGACAGTTCCTCCCCATTCTTATTTTTATTATTAAATTATTATTAAATTATTTAGATGATAAATAAATGGGTAAGTTTATACATAATTGATATAAATTAGAAAAAAAAGAAGATTTTATTGAAGTGTTTAGATGTTAAATAAATCATTAATGGGTAAGTTTATTATAGAATGATATAAATTAGAGATAAAAAATACTTTAATGAAGTATTTAGATGTTTAATAAATTGGTTACCTTTAATATTATCAATTGATATAAATTAAATTAGAAAAACTTTTTTTAGCCAATTAGTTAATTATTCTGATTTTTTAAATTAGATGTAATGTATACTTTTTAATGTGTTTTGCCATTGAAAATAATTAATGAATAATTTACTTGATAAGGATATTCATAAGATATTATTATTATTATTTTAATAAATAAATATGAAATTTATAAGCAAAAAATGATGAATGAATTTTAATTGTTCATACTTTTGTATAATGAAAAGGGGGTTCAATACACACATGCCTTAAGTTTGCTGTCAGAGATAATTGAGATGTTTATTAAAAATCAAGGTGTTGATTAGATTAAGATAGCTGTGAAAAGGTATTGATGAATAAGTATTTACAAGCTAGACCTTAACATAATTACAGGTGTCCAATCATTGTCCAATAATCTATATCTCTCACGATGAAGGTGTTGATAGGATTAAACAAGGGTGCCATAGTCACAAAATACGCCCGTTTACGAAAGCTTTAGATGGAGATGGGGGCATTATGGATAAGTGTTATCTAGCAAGCAAGTTTTTATCCTTGGCACTGTGTTGTTAAATGAACCTTAAAACAAATCAGTAGGGAAGATAAAAAGTACATGTAATTGTAATTTAATAACTAAAAAATTCTGATTTAAGATTTTATTCTAGGGAAATACATTTCATTACAATTCTTAATCTTTGAATGAGCTGAACTGATATTTACTTGAAAATTAAAATATAATTAAATTTCTATGAGAAAGTATTTACATTTGATAAGGTAATTACTGTATGATCTTTATGAACAAATACCAAGTCTACAGAACACCATAGTTATCACAGTTAAGAATCTTGACCAATGAATGAAACATGTGTAAATAAATGTTACATTCTTTAGAACATACTCAAGTCCAAGAAAGAGGATTATTTTATGCCCTTTGATTAAATTCTATTTTTAGAATTGAAAGTGAAAGTAGATCAAGGGGAGTAATTGTGTAAGTCATTTATGAACAAAGTAATAACTTTGTTGTTGCCCTTTGATTAAATTCTATTTACAAAATCTGGATATTTCATCATCTTTAGTGACCTTGACCTTGTATATATTGACCTAAATTATATGTATCACAGCCATAGTCTTGATAATGACCATTTGTGTTACAATCCCTCAATAAATGATGACTAAATGGTACATATACACATCTTCATATTTTTATCTGAACTTTGACCTCTATGTGTGACCTTGACCTTGGACGCAAGGACCTGAATCTTGCACGCGACACTCCGCCTCACAATGGTGAACATTTGTGCCAAGTAATATAGAAATCCCTCTATACATGTGGAAGTTTTGCTCCGGACAAGCATTTTTCAATGACCTCTAAGTGTGACCTTGACCTTTGACCTAGAGACCTGGTTCATGTGCGCGACACTGCTCCTCATAGTGGTGAACATTTCTATGAAGTTTCATTAAAATCCCTCCATACATGTAGGAGATATGCTCCGGACAAAATTGGACGCCGCCCGCCCGCCCGCCAGGGGCGTTCCCATAATACGTCCCGTTTTTCAAACGGGCGTATAAATACCGAAAAAAGGTGTTAAATTTACAAACACTTTTCAGCTGATAAACATAAAACATAAAATGCAGTTAATATCAAACACATTATTTTAATAATCTTCACTAAGAAATATTATTAGATTACATTAAGTCAAAACTAAATTGATAACCTATAAAAAAAAATGGGGGAGAACTGTCTGCATATTTCAAATTTGGGAGAGAACCGTCAGGGGAGGAAACGGTTAGGGAGAGAACCGTCAGGGGGAGGAACTGGTAAGGGAGAGAATAGTCTGTCATTCCCCCCCCCCATGCATCGAGGTATAATTTGTGGAATCCGGGTCAGCTCGGCCCTAAAACATACTCGGCCCTATTCCAACTCGGCACGGGTCAACTCGGCCCACTTTTAAAAATGGGTAAAAGACATCAAAGGACTCGTATTGTCACGGGCTATTATTATCAATCAATGTGTATGTTAAAGATACCGATTAATCAGATGATAATTATGATTGACTCATTCATTCAAATTTGATTAGTGACCACCTGCAATTAATTAGAAGCTTATGCTATTAAGTAAACACATTTTTGTTTCATATTTTTTTGAAAATTACTTTACAAACAAAACGCATCTAAGGAAACACATTTTTATTATATCTATATTCACAGGCACAAGTATCGGACCTGGGAAGAAAAAATATGAAGTTATTTTATCAATCTGTTCATATTTTTTCTTCCCAGGTTCGATAATCGTGCCTGTGTCTATATTAATTATATCGAATCTGCTAGACAAATAAATAACCTTTTTTTTCTAAATATACTTTATTTCAGCAGAGGTACAATGTATAATTATATAATAATAATAAGATATTTCTTATTATTCATTTACCTTAACAACATGCAAAGCAAAGTTAATACGTTATAGGCCTATATATTTTTGTAAAGTGGGCCGAGTTGACCCGTGCCGAGTTGGTATAGGGCCGAGTTGACTCTTTTCCTAATTTGTGCTATTTTGTGTATTGACAATATCTCCACTATTCCAAGGTCATTATTTGAGACTGCACGTGAAAATTTGCAAGGAAGTTAAGAGTTGTTTAAAAGAGGATAAAAGAATATTTAAAAATGTTAAAAACAGGGGCTGATAACTAGGGTGAGATATGTTCGATGCAAGCTATGGCTGCACTGAACTACTCTTGGGTAGGGAGTAGGGCAACTGCAGGGGGCAGGTTGTTCCAGTGGTACACTGTTCTAGGAAACAATGAGAATTTATAATAGTCTAAGCTTGCTGTGAATAGCCTATAACATTTTAAGGGATGGCCATGGCATGATGATGTTTGGGAGAGGGGTGTCAAATATTTTGCTATGGGGATAGCAACCAGACTGTGGTGAATCTTATAGAGAAGGGATAACCTAGTATCTACACTTCCATATTCAAGCTGGGGTCTGATAACTCTCTGATTATGATTGCCTGCATCACCTGACACTTTTTTTTTAGGACATGGCAAAGTAAGGATAACATTTTAGATTTTGGCTCATTCACTGCTTTAATTTTTGCATTATATTGATTCAAGTTCATTTGTTTGTCGGTTTTCTTTTGAGAAATATTTATGTTTTACTTTAATGCAGGTTAAAGAAACAAAATGTCTGAAGACACCAGCACAACAGCAACGCCTATGGACACAACAGATATAACTGGTTTGTACATTATGTATATTATTTGAAATATATATTTTAAAGCAAAACATCTTACAATGTAAATTTCATCTTGATCTTTTTATTAAGTTAAAAATAAGTATCAAAATGGCAAGGAGTGACAAAAGATTTTATTAAAGGACTACTTTTAATAATAAATATGGAAACATATTGTTACCGTTGTCACTGTTGAAATGATTTTGTCAGGATCACTTTTAAGGCTACTGAAGTTAAATGGTACGGTAATTTACCATAAAACTTAATCAATTAAAAAGAATATAAACACTTGAAAATACCAAAACGCTCAAGTACAGTTAATCTTATTTATTAAGATCTTCTGTTAAACAAATGCATAAAACAGGATAATTAAATACTTTAAAACATGTAAATTATTGCCCTTGCCGTTGGTATTATTATTGTAGATCTAATGAGTTCGTCAATGTAAAGTTGTTAAAGAAGGGGTTATATGAACGTGTTTCGCGTAAATTACAGTAAAAGTCTTCTAGCGGAATATTTATTTAGCGGAATGTTCAAGTTTTGACGGATTTCCGTTGTTTGGCGGATTTTTAGTTAGGGTTGAGCTACTGTTCAAATAATAACCTTGTTAGTCCATGTTTCAAGGTTGGAAAAGCTGCTCAACTGAATTGAGCGTCTGTATTTATAGACTTTGGCGTGTTAATTCCGAAATGAAATTTGCCCGCCGCTAAAACATTCAAAAGTACTCTTATCCAATAAGATTCGACAACGGAATTAGTTAACCAGTCACAGCGTTCCGCTAAACATAGCACAGTCATGGCTCATACGCCGTCAGACAAAATAGATCCGTCAAGGATCCGCTAAAATGTTATTATTCTTTTATAGAATAATAAAGACATAAAATATCGACAGATTTTTATATAATAGTCACTCTTTCCAAAATATGATTATGGTAGTTTCGTTGCATTACAGTACTTTCTCGGAATTTGGCCGGATATGGAACTTATTTCCGCTGAATCCGTCAGCTAGAAAATGTAAATAATACACATCTTTGTGTTCTAGTGACACTTTTAGTGTATACTTTCTGCATCTATTGTAATGGAATAATAGTTCAGGTATATTTCTACATATCTGATCGTTATTATTGTTATTCTTTGGTCAGTTGAGTATCTACGCTCAATTGTCAGGTTATTTCGCGACCCGGATCATGTTCACAGTTCTGAACGATATTTCAATGGTTCTTTAACTCGAATCATTGAATATTTATACTGTCTACTGTTATATATATAGTTGATAAACAACCACACAAATCACGGAAATGACAGAGCAGAATTCACGTAAAGGAAAGGTAAAATCTCGTCACACTGTCAAATTGTTTACATGTCTATCCATAACAATATATTACCATTTCATACTAGATGTGGACAGTGATAAAGGTTGTCAGAAATATTCTAGTTATCGATAAACAGAATTATACAATACTTGTATGTATTGTAATGATTGAATTTTGGGGGGGAAAAACAGAAAACTTTGGTTCTTCAACACAGCACGAGAACTAGGACTCATAAAATCTATTTGAGTGACATACCAGTTCCAGATCAAAATACTCCAACCAACACTTAAATATTTGTTAGAAATTTGCAGGAATGGCAAAATCATGTGTCCCTATTGCCCAGGTTGTCACACAGCCTGTATGGACAAGTGGGAATGTTCAATAATTCACTATATAAATATATGGACAAATAAAGAAAAATAATTCAAAATCAGAAATTTGATGGCCCTTCAAAAGCAAGTGGTATACTTTTTCTTTTTAATTTTCCAAGCTTACAATTAATAACAGATTCCTGCTGTTAATAACTTAATGCTTTTAAAAGTGAGGGGAAAATGTAACAGAAAGACAGACTGTGTGAGTGGCAAACTGACATTTTCACATGAAGCCATCTAGTCTTCTAGACATCAAAATGATTATTTTTGTTTCTTTTAGATGACAGTTCAGAAATGTTAGCCAGCAGTCATTTTGCTACTAAGCCAGATGGTAGCCTTATTGATCCTGTTAATTCTGAGGGAGATTGTTTAGTCAGTGAATTAGCAATGCCTGATGGGACATCTCCTCAGGACCCTCCAGATTCTGTACCTCAGCCTGCAGCATCTAGGGATCCCGTTGAACCAGCGGTGACCGGAGATGACAGTCACACTACTGTTCCGAGGTTTACTCTAGGTGGAGAAAGTGCAGGAATTGAAGGGGAGGTTGTAGATGGTCAAATGGTTGATCCTAAAAGGGAGGAATCATTGACACCAGTGAAAGATCATTTTGATGTTCCTAAAAGTTTGCCAGAATCAGGTAAGTCAATTCTTTATTGTACACATGATTCCATATGATTATGCTGCTATATTTATTCTTTTGAGTATGTTTTTAAGATTAACAAGTTTGCTAAAGTTACGAATATGACTAATTTTAAATTAGCAAGATGTAGAAAATTAGTTTCCAAGACCTTATTTTCACAGTGATATAAATTTCAAGTATTTTTAACAAAATTTCGCTACTTAACAAATCAGTTTTTTTAACACTTAATTGGGAAAAGGCCTTAGTCCTTTGATTTTAAGGAAAAGTGTCTCTAAAAATGCTAATTTGGAAAGCTTGTGTAAGTTAAGATCATTCGGAAAACTGCATGATTTTAAAGAAAATCCCATTGGAAAGAGACCTTTTATAGGCCCCTGTGATATTTTGTGAAAAATCACTGAAAAATTAAGGTTAAAACCTGGCATCCAGACTTAAACATGTAAAGTAAATTATACAAAATCATATCTCATGTTAATTATTAATATACATGTATAATGTTACAGGTATGGTGACACCTGCCAGTCAAAGTGACCAGTCATTAACATGCTCCAGCTCAGAGAAGGGTACACCTAACACAAGATTTAAGCTTGGTGATCTCCGGCATTTAGACTACGACAGTATGTCATCATCATCGGGCTCTGTTAAAAACCTTCAGCTGCCACAGCGGTTAGGCATCAGCTGGAGAAAAGGTGAACGATTAGAGGCCATGGATTACCTCAATTCTTGGTATGTGTGCCTATTCAGGTGGGGCTCAGTGGTTCAAACACAGACTTTCATAATTTATGAAATGAAGTACCTCATTTTATATTGTCTCAGTTAACAGTATAATTATTGACAGTTTGTTGCCTTAATATCAGTTTATTCTCCATGCATTAGATATCAGGGAATCCCATGGCTAAACCTCATGTAATGCACGTATAATGCCACTACTCTCTTATTCTCTTACTTACACTCACAACTTTGTTATATATTAGTAAATTTCATGGGTTTTACAGTCTTTTTTCTTAAACAGCTACTGAACGTTTTTTATAAAAAATAATGTAATTTTTTAGTTGTTGTTTGGGTCTGAAATAATGCATATAAATGCACTATGCTTAATAACACTTGAAACCTAATAGGAAATAAAGATTGTTTAAGAGTGAAAATAAGACTTAAGACAAAAGTACAACTGTCCAGTTTTCCTTGTCCAGGTTTCCTGCAAAGATTCGTTCAATTAATGAAGATGATATGAAGGTGCTAATACATTTTGATGGCTGGAATCAGAGATATGATGAATGGATTGACATGTCATCAGATCGTATCAGACCCCTGGTGAGACACTCCGAACGCAAAGAGAGAAGTAAACGAGCTAGATCAACATCGGGTTCAGGCCGGGGCTCTGCCAAAAATGTTAGCAAAAAACCTCTCAAGGTAAATAGAATCGTATTTGTATATGTATATTTGCACATAATGTTTTAAGAGTGAAGATATAGTGATATTAAACTTAGAAATCAGTACATTAATTGACAGCTGCTATCATATTAAAGTTATTTGATCAGTTCTGATTAAATAGGTCTCTACCCTTAATAAAATACTACTTGTATGTGATTTTGATAACTTAGAAATACTCTAATGCATAGATCCCTGAGTGACCTGTCCAATTCTAATTATCAGATTAGTGGATACAATAAGAATTTCACCACAACATATTTGTTAACAAAATAGCAAATGTTAGTGTTTGTGGTTAAATCTATTGTTATTCAAATAAAAAGACAGAGTAAGGGATCTGTCAATTGAAGCTGTGAACAGAAAATTAACTATTTTGTGAACAGATAAAATTAACTGTCTTGGTCTTTGTACATAATATTATTAACAATTAAAGTTTGAATTAAGAATGTCTCAATGTATAAGATAATATCTAACTGATATATGAATTATGAACTAGGAGCACAAGATAGGGGATGCAGTATATGCCAAGTGGACAGATTGTAAGATGTACCCTGCCAAGATAACTAATATAATGCCAAATGGTAAGTTTATAAAGTAATTTAGTCTATGTATATACCATATGTATATATCCATCAACCTAACTTAAGGGAGTTTAATTGCAATCCAAATAATCTTAGTATGGTACACTTATCTGTTTTGAAAACAAAGTTTGAGGTAGAAAAATATTTGCATCATTGACAACATGCAAAACATGTTAATTTTTTTTGAAAAAAAAAACCCAACCCAAAACAGCAACAACATAACAACTATTTAAACAGTATGGTGTCTTAATTGTAAGATTTTAATACCAAGTTTGTTACATCTTTATTGTAAAATGTTTCATATTTAATTAGGAACTGAAAAGGGCTTTTTTGTTCTTTATAAAAAAAATGCTATATTGGAATAAATTGAAAACATAAAACAATGCATTTCACTTTATGGTGATCATCTTATTTAATCATTAAGTAATAACTTATAGTGGCTAATAAAATTAATGTAACATGACATTGTCTTTAATGTTTGTTATAATTCATTGAAAATGTATTGTTTATGTATTTTGATCAATGTATTATCACATGATGTATGATAATCTACTATGTACAAATCAAAAATAAAATTATGTGCCGTTTATTATTTGAATGTTTATTTCAGGAGCGTATGAGGTTATATTTTATGATGGTTTCAAAAAACTTGTACAGCCTATCAATGTGAGATCTATGCCAAAAGAATATAGACAAAAGGTAAGTATCTAATTTTAAAGAATATTACTTACTGTCAAGGTATTGTTCTGGCATGGTATTTTTTATTGATTTACATGAACAAGTCTGCTATTCTGATTGTAATTGGTATATCAACATCTTTATCTTCACAATTATCATAATTTTATGTAATATCTGGAAAAAAATTGATTGCTATTCAAGGGAAATAGATTGTGTTCTGTAAATGTACTATCGAAATACTCCAAGTACACACTGGGTTAAGTACAATAAATGAAGAGCAACAACTTTATAGGATCATGCCTCGAGATGAATTAAACCCTTTCCTGAGTTCTGTCTGAAATATCAGAATTTTCATTGGTCAATTTTTATTCTGTACTGGTGTCTGACCAATCAAAGATCTGAGTTTGAACTCTAGAAAAAAAAACCATATAACCCTGGATTCATGTTAAACTTAAACAGATTATACAGGTTATATAAATCTACTAGTTTTCAGAGTAAATATCAACAATCAATATAAGTGAATAAGAATTGTATATGAAATCCCTACTAAAGAAACAGGAAACAGTTTCATTTAACAGATTTATAGTTGCCACCTGTCAAAGAACAGATTGAGTATAGCTTGCGGTTGTGTACCATTTTCATATTTATCAAGTAAAATGTTGTCTTATTTTCAGTCGTTTGAGATCGATCCTGTTCCAGAGGCTGTATGTAAAAAGGCTAAACTGAAGCTGGACTGTACAGACCATTCATGTAAATATAAAATTATTGATATAAAATTAATTTACATGTACTGCATAATGATTATAACTTGTGGGGCACTAGTAGCGGCTCGGGTTATATTTACAAACAACCGTTTATATAGGGACATATAACCTGCCAAAAATCTTTATAACTAATAATATATTAATATGAAAGCATTTTCGGTACGAAATATTTGCTAATCAATATGACAACTATTTAAACTTTATAGAATGTTACGTGTTTATATTGTTGTAGTAAGCCAACCAGATATTCAAGATGTCAGGTCAGGTGAGAAGGTAAAGTTGGAAGCAGGTGGGGGGAGAGAATCCTCCACAGACAGTGAGAAGAAACAGCCTAGAACAAAGAAGAGACGGCTGATAGTACCGGGACTGTTCAGTGATGCATCAGTGACGGGCCTGGGAGAATCTGTCACACCTGATGTACAGATCAAGTCAGAACCTGTATCTACACAGACTGACTATGGTGAAGGTAGTAAGGTAAGTTCAGATCTATTTTACATGAGGGCCTTATCTATTGTGATAGTCTGATTCATTGTTAGAGTTTGATCTGTTGTGAGAGTATGGAGAGAAACATATTTTTGTCTTTAATAAATGAAACTTCTACATCTCTAAACAACATGTCTTTTTCGTTGTTAGTGTGAGGGTCTGAACCAGTTTGAGGTTCTGGTCCATTGTGAGGGTCTGAACTATTGTGAGGGTCTGAACTATTGTGATGGTCTAAACTATTGTGATGGTCTGAACTATTGTGATGGTCTGAACTATTGTGAGGGTCTGAACTATTGTGAGGGTCTGAACTATTGTGATGGTCTGAACTATTGTGAGGGTCTGAACTATTGTGAGGGTCTGAACTATTGTGAGGGTCTGAACTATTGTGATGGTCTGAACTATTGTGAGGGTTTGGTCCATTGTGAGGGTGTTTACCATTGTGAGGGTCTGAACAGTAATGCGGGTCTGATCTGTTGTGAGAGTATTAAGAGAAACATATTTTTGACTTTCAATGTAATGTTAATACAAATGAAAATACAAATGAACATTTGTAATCGAATATTAAAACATGTGATATAAGGAATGTCCATTGGAATTTATTGTGTTCATTACATTTGCAAGTAAAATTGCTTCACATGTTTATGCAATGTTTCCATACTTATACTGAATGTTTGTAAGTCTTACTGTTAAGTATAACTGCTTTCTTTAAATAAAAAAGATAATATACCATTTATTTTCAAGTGTTTAAACATTTGTCCTAAGTTTTTGATATACTGTTCTGGAATGGTTATGAATAGTTTTGATTGTTAATATGTTGTAGATTGACAATATAGGAGTGCCAGGAACCAGTGCTGGTCAAATCATGGGTCAACCCCAGGTGCCAACTCCAGGTAAAGGCCTTAATTATTTTTTTAGATCTCAAAGAAAGTAGTAAGAATAATTTTTAGTCACATACCACGCGAGATGAGTAATCTTATTAAATCATTATAGTCATATTTTATATATTGTGATATGTCAGTGCTAAGTGTCAGTTTGAGAGACCAACTGTATTGCATGTGTATGAATAGTAGTTATTTCTTTAAATGGTTTGCAGAATTGTTTGTTAATATGAATGCAATAATGTATTTGAGTTTTGATTAAAATTTGTTAGTTGAAGTTAAGGGTAAAGGTTGCCTAGTGCAGGGCATTCCAAAAATTGGAAGTCACATGATTTAATAAAGACGGAAAAGCATTACATTTTGGAAGTCACAAATCAAGGAGTAAATGACTCTCTAACTGCCACTAACAGAAGCCTTGCTAGTGGTTACGTGCCTGCCTCTAAATGACGGGGCGTATACATATTTTAATCTTTTTGGGGTAACTTCAGTAATACTTCATATAATGACACCAGGTGTAATTTCTCTGTGAAATTGACCAGGGACATTGGGTATAATGGTTATTTGTCTCTCACAGCTGAATCAGAATTCATGATGAATAAGGCAAGCAGTCAATTACTTGCTGAGAAATTAGTAATTATTGATGTTATCACCTTCAGGTGGATAGTTGGCAGAGATATGACCAACAAATTTGTATGAAAACCAGCATAGAAATAGAAAAACAAGCAAACAGGCAGACTTGATAGTGGTTGAAATATTTTACAAACTTGATATATTTATACGTCATCTCTAACCAGGCCCCAAGGTTATAATATCTCTTCCTGAGACCAAGCTCAGATATCAGGATTTTCATTGGTCAATTCTCACTCTGTGCCTGTTTCTGACCATACCTGAGATCTGAGTTGAGATTAGAATATTTCTTTATAATATTGGCCCCTTGTAATAGTAATGAGCATTGTAACTTTGCATTTGGGGCTCTATGCACTTTGGGGTCCTCACAGGCTAGCTAAATAAATGTTTCAACTACTACTATTGAATTGCAGTTGCACCTATTGGAGTGCTCCCACCAAAAGCATTTGTGGTGGAATCGGATCACAATCAGTACAAGTGTCAGTACCAAGGCTGTAATAAAAGCTTCAGGAAGGAACATCTACTAGATTATCATATAAAATACTATCATATAAATGGTGATACCCCTCTACCAACACCTGCCAAAAGGAGAAGAAAAACAACTAGCACATGTAAGTTGTGGAATTTTTTTGCTGTTGTTGTTTACATTACCATACATTATTCCTTTTAATTAATACAGTCTAACTTGCTCATGCGACCATGTGTATTAAGCGACTTTTGTCTTATGCAACCACTTTAAATGCGACCGTTTTGGGTGTTTCCCTTGCACGGTTGCTTAATACACGTTTGACTGTATAAGCACACATCCATGTTTAACTTAGTGGACAGGTAAACTGCTTGTTTAAATCAGCAAATTTATCCTGAATTCATTTGCACTGCAGAGAATTTTGCAAATATTTTCCCAAAATAAAATCACAGGTAATTTAACTAATTTTGAAAATGATGTAAAGTTTGCATCAATACAAGCAACTTATGGATATTGCTGTTCATAGAACTGTTGATTTTAATAAACACAATCAGTAGATGTTATCTGGAACTCAGCAAATGTGGGATTATAAGAATCTTACACTGGCTGCCGGTACAGATTGGAATATCTAGCTTGAGGCTAACTGTTAATGGCGGTAACGAGGCTCTGCCGAGTTTCCGCTAAAACGTTAACCGAGAGCTAGATATTCCAGTCTTCACAGACAGCCAGTGTTTGATTCTTTTTCTTGCATATTACATATCAATTATATTCAGAACAGAAATTACGAAAATTGATATTGATTTTCATTGCGTACTTTTTTCTTATAATAGCGTATGAACTTACAACTTCATTCATAATGGTTAAGTGACGTAATTCTAAGAACGCAATTCAATCATAAAAGGCGTGCGACAATGCGTCATTTAAAGCGCGAAAACTTGTCTTACATGGGGGGTGTAAGACAGAGTTTTCTAGCACCAGTGTAAACGGTAGATAATCCTGTCTGATATGCAAGAATATCCAATCTTATCTCCCAGTACAAAGAAACTTGCTGTTAAAGCTTCATGGTACCCTACTGGTCACAATAGACTAGTAACCCTGTTTGTGCTTATTTTCGAATCTGTTAATTTAAAAGTTTGTTTGTACCCCCTGGTTAGCTGGGAAAAACTCTCAAAATATTATTAATTCCGGAGTAAGTCTATTGCCATAAGAATATGTAAATTGTTCCTTATTTTGCTTATTTCACTTAAAGAGTAGTCTGTTCTTTGACTGGTTCAGGTTCTACAGAGTCTGAGAGTATTGTTGGTGGTAAGAAATTGGCTGCAAAGAAGAACCGTAACTTTTCAGCAGAGGGTGCCATGTTTATGCCAGATTTGAAGCAAGAATTTCCTGAGGTACCAGATATCGAAGGTAAGAAATTTCTAATACTTAATCAGTACTTATTTTGCTTAGTGATTAAGCTTCTGTTTATTTGAATAGTTTGTCTGTTATTTTTACCATTTGCCATTGACACATAAATTGAAAAGATTTTGTGGGGCGTTCATGGCTGAGTGGTTATGGTCATTAACTTAAAACCACTTGCCCTTTACCAATGTGGGGTTCGATTCTCGACAGGGACTTTGGATTTGTTCATGTGAGGAAGCTATCAAGCTAGATTATCCTACTCTGGTTCCCATTCCTGCCTGGCTTCTGAGGTCTTCCTCCACCAGTAAAGCTGGAAATTTACCATACGACCTATACTGTGTTGGTGCAACGTTAAACCTAACTAAAGAAAAGAAAAGGTTTTTTTGTTGCATTCTCATTTTCTTACAACATTTAGGAATTGGGTCATAGCTTATGTCCTCTGTTGAAGTTAATACATCATGCTTGCTATCCAGCTTCTTCTGCCAGTTCAGCTGGAAAGTCGCCATTTGACCTTTTTGCAGTGTCTGTGAGACATAAGACCAAACAAATCATGCTTGCATAGTCAATGGCTAGACTACTGTGTACATTGTGTCTTTTGTAATATATGGAAGATTTTATAATGTCTGAAACAATTGAAAATTAGAAATTACCTTTCAGTGACTTTTATCTAACAAATTAAATAGATTGATTATCTTTAAAGAAATATGTTAAATACTGTAAAATTCCTATGTAAATGTATTTAGTGATGTAAGATTCTATTATATTTTCTTGATTTTTGAGAAATTATATCAAAATATGTGGTGTTATAATTATATTATAGAAACAGGTGAGATACCTACTCAAACATCACATAGTAAACACACGGAGTCCTATGCCAGCGATGATTTTGTACAGGTATATGGTATGAAACAAGACAGCCTGGAGGAGTCGAGTGTGACTGATGCAGAAGAATTCCTGAAACCAGATGAGCTTGTCAATTGTATATGTGACTTCCAGGAGGAGAATGGTCTAATGATACAGGTATATACATGAACTATACAAAGGGTTTACACACACCTTAAAATATCATTGGAAATTAAGGAAATATGATACAGTTTCAAATTTCCTTTATGATAGAATTTAAGATATCTGCGTTGAAAATTTTCTGAAGTGTTAAGTTACCAGGAGATATAAAAATCCATTATTAAATAGAATTATTTCATTTTCAGTGGTTAAAAGTGTGTGTTTTCTGTCAAAACAAATACCAGTACTTTTAAGGTTGAAATAAACATTTTTTGTGGCATACAGTTTTCACAGTAATTTTTACTATAACGAGCCTTGTTAAAAATATCATAGTTTACCACCTCAGGTTATCATGGGTAATCAATGAAGATCTTGGAAATATGATGGGATGAGGTAGAAAATTTAGTGATTAAATCCCCCGGCAAAGGAAATATGGGCATATATGTATATTATGTGTCAGCTTACGTATTATTGAGGATAACAGCAGTGTTAATAATATTGTATAAACATACTTTTAAAGGCAATATAATACGTTTTAAAATGTTTAGTTTATTTTACAATATGTCCTGGGAATTTGTCCTATAACAAATGCATTTATATGTTTACTTGGATTAATTCAGTGTGAAGTGTGTATGTGCTGGCAGCATGCTGCATGTTTTGGTATAACAGAGAGGACTCTGCCAAAAACATACATCTGTTTTGTCTGTGAAAACCCACCTGGTAAGTAAAACTTATGTATAAATTTATAAATTCAACTTTTTAAAAAATAATCATAACATGTAAGTTCATTTGATTTTTATGCTCTTTATAGGGAGAACATAGAATAATGTTTGTTACATTTTTACTTGGCAGCAGTATTAACTATAACAATGTGCACAGTGGAGGGTTGTCCTTCCTTAGGTCAAGGTCACACTATTGTCATTTTGTCTGAAATTTTAAAAATTTGTTGTGCACACTGTATCTTTTGAACCAACGTTTTTGGCAGAAATATTACTTATAATCAGATGATGTGTAGAACACAGGTCTGGACTTCCTGAGATCAAAATTGGTGTCAACCCCTAGGTATACTTGATTTATATAAACTTATATCAGAAAACATATTTAAGTTTCATTCTGTGAGCTAAGATCCATAATGGCCCTCTTGTTTACTTATAACAAATTAAATATACTTGCAGATTTAAAATTTATTTTAAAATTATTAGATTAAATTATTCAGCATGATATTGATTTGTATACATTTATATTGATGTTAATAATGAAATAATCAAGACTTGATTCTCTTGTATTGCTTATAAATTAAAAGCTATATGTTTGTACATCACTAGGTGTTCGAGAGAGTAGCAAGTATATACATGAGCAAGACTGGTTTAAGACTGGCGAGATACCATCATTTAGTTTTCTACCATTACCACCAATGTCTGAGGAGAGATGTAGTACAGTGAAGTCTACGCATACACTAGTGGTGGAGTTACAGCAGCTTAATGCTGTATTACACAGCCTGAAACTCCAGCTTAAAGTTCTCAGGTATATATCTTATACTGTAATGTTGTCTTTTTATTTATTTTATATTAGAAACTTGCAATTTGTCAGAAACTGAAATATTTCTAATATAAATGTTATATCTGAAAGTTAAAAATTGAAAATAAATCTTATATCGGAAACATAAATATTTGAATATAAATCTTATGTCTGAAACATAGATATTTGAATATAAATCTAATGACTGTAGCATAAATATTAAGATATTGAATTTCTTTTGTGAAACTTACGATATAAATCTTGTGTCTGAAGCTTTAAATTTGAAACTTAAAATGTAATTCATATATTTGAATCTTACAGTTTAAAACCTTTGTCTGAAGTCTTAGCTATAAATGTTATGTTTAAAACTTTAAATGTAAATCTTATGTCTGAAACTTTAAATTTGAAACTTTGAATATACTAGAAAATATAATGTCTAAATGAAAGTTATATAAATCATGCCCCTGGAATCAAAATTGGTTCTAGCCCTGAGGGTCACTTAGTTTATATAAACATACATAGTAACACATAATTAATTAAGTTTCTTTCGTGGAATTTCAATGCCAAGAGCTTAGATATTTGTCATGAATCATTTTGTAGCAGACATCTACAAATATTTCAAAAATTACTTGTATGCAGCTTGGATTAAAAAATGGCAAACCCAATGTAACCTCATTAGCAGCTTAAACATTAAAAAATTGTGACCATTTCTAGCAATGTATCTCGGGTGAGTGATGTGTTTTGACATATATTTTTTCTAATATCAGAACAAAAGATGAATCAAAGTTGAAGATGTGGAGAGCTGACTGGGATGTATTGGAGTCTGAGACTTTTGAAAGTTTTGCTTTGACAACAGATGATAAGAATGGTTTTATTAAAGATGGTATAAAAGCAGTGGAGATAGCTGAGCCACAGGCTGGTTCCAGTAAAGATTGTATAAAGGAGCCACAGCCAGGTTCCAGTAAAGATTATTCCCAGGAGCCACAGCCAGGTTCCAGTAAAGATTATTCCAAGGAACCACAGCCTAGTTCCAGTAAAGATTATTCCCAGGAGCCACAGGCTGGTTCCAGTAAAGATTATTCCAAGGAGCCACAGCCTGGTTGCAGTAAAGATTATTCCAAGGAGCCACAGCCTGGCACCAGTAAAGATTGTATAAATGTAGGAGAGACAGCTGTGCCAATTGCTGGTTGCAGTAAAGATTATTCCAAGGAGCCACAGCCTGGTACCAGTAGAGATGGTATTAATGCAGGGGAGACAGCCATACCACAGGCTGGTTCCAGTAAAGATTTTATAAATTCAGGGGAGACAGCTGTGCCACAGGCTGGTTCCAGTAAAGATGGCATAAAGGCAGAGGTAGGGGAAACAGGTGTGTCACAGGTTGATTCAAGTAATGGCGATGTGAAGGCAGAAGAGACAGCTGTGTCAAAGGCTGGTTCCAGTAAAGAGTGTTTTGAAACAGAGGAAACAACTGTGCCACAGAATGGTTCCAGTAAAGACAGTATGGCGGTAGGGGAGATAACTGTGCCACAAAAACAAATTATTAAAATTGAAAATGAAGAAGAAGTAAAAACAGAAATTAAAGCAGAAACTTCTTGTGATACAAATAAAGTAATTGAGACTGTGAAAACTGAAGAAGGTGTTAGTGAAGTTAAAGTTGAAGATAAGGAAGATGAATCTCAAAGTTCTACAACAACTGGAGATGTATTGAACAATCCTGTAAAATCTGGTACAGAGGAGAAAGAAGTTCTGACTACAGATAATGGGCATGAAGAAATAAAGGATGAAGCACAGTCTATGATGTTAGAAAACAATACAGGTTTGGAGCAGGTAGTCATCGCTTTTGTTACATTTAAAAGAAAATTAATTAAAACAATTGTCCCAATCAGACTGAAGTTCAGATCTACTTAAGTTATTTCTTGCATGTAGATCTGATTGCCACTGTATTTGTTTCGCCTTCATTGTGATTCGGATTTCTGTGCAGATAGGCATAAGATAAAGTATCAATATATCGCTGTCTGTGGGAGTGAAACAAATTTTGAGCATGCAATGTATAATCTGCTTTTAACATCTTTGCTATTCTTTCATAAAACAGTATGAGAAACTTACCTAAGCTATATTATTTAAGAAATAATATATCCCAAACAGTGATTTTATTGCTCAATGAAATCACTGTTTTGAGTTTGGATGTAAGGAATTATATCACGAGGGGGTAGCGTGTTAAAGGTGTGAGTAAATTTACTTGAGGAAAGAAATAGTTTTTTAATGTTGACTCACTTCAATTAAGTGGTTATTATGCTTTCCCTCCACTCACAAAGGGAAGTGCTATAACTGTATTTGTATTATACATGCAAACATTGTGTTGTTATATATCTACAGGAAGTAATAATCAAGGTAGAGGAGACAGGTGAGGAGAATCATTCCGACAGTACAGAGAGTGTAATAGAAGATCCTATAGAGGTGTGTGAGAGGAACCTGTTGAGTCATATACTTAGAGTACAAGCAGAGATCAGTGATAGGTTTGACAAAATACAGGAACAGATTGAAAGTAATTATCATTCTAAAGTTAAGTTAGCTTGAACATTATTTATTTAAAGATTGATTGTGAAGTAATCTTGCAGCTTATTTTGAAGTAATTTTAAGTCTGCTTTCTAGAACTGAACAGTACTTGTGTTGTCTGAGAAAATACACTCATGCCCCCTGGTGAACTCAAACCTACAAGCCTTAACCACTAGCCCACTGCTCTCCTCATAATTTGATGTTCTCTAAAAAGAGGAAGGTACATGTATATTGCACAAATTTTGTAAGATAGTAATAAAGTTTCTTTCTTTCAATTAGATGAACTTATATTGTACAATATCAGCTATCATGGCTATCAATCTAATAAACTGATATTGTATTATTTCAGTACTTAATGTCATGGCTTTAAGTTAGATAATCTGATGTTGTATTATTTCAGTGTAGTCATGGTTATCAGTTAGATAATCTGTTGTATTATTTCAGTGTTGGAAGCTATGGAGGCAATGCAGAGTAGGAGAGAGCTACCTAACCCACAGAACGTGCTCAATGATATGCCTCAACTTAAACGATCATTGAGAAACACGGAGAATGATCTTTGTAAAGTCAAGAAGATGTCTGTGTTCCATTAATTATATCCTGAATTTAATTAGCCCGTTAATTACTGTATTGTCTCCAGTTAATGCCCTCTTGAGCATGCATTTTTTCAAAAGCGGGCGCTAATTAGAACTATAAGAATGTGCTGTAAAATATGTTTACTATAGATACAAGTCAATTATAACAATCATTATTCATTATTATGATCTGAAAAACAAATTTACAATGCAGGTTTTTTTTTTTTAATGATTTATAAATCTATCAGCCTATAATCAGGTAAGATTGTTTTTAGTACAAAATGTGGTGAGGGTGCACTAATTAGAGGGAGAGGGGTGTTAATTGGAAACAATGAGGTGTATGATAAATTTGAGGTTAATGTTATACTGGTTAAAGATGTGATTATGAAATGAAACTATTCCAGAAATATATTTGTTTTCCTTTTATCCACCTACTTTGCAGAAGAACATTGATGTACATGCATTGTGTGACAGAGGGCATTGTTTTGTTTTGTGTATATATTAAAAGTTTTGTTTAGGGACCAAATAAAGATAAACAAAAGCATTTTAAAAGTGCTAATTTGTATTTGAATCTCTTTGTAAATCTATTTTTAGCTCACCTGTCACAAAGTGACAGGGTGAGCTTTTGTGATCGCTTTTCGTCCGGCGTCCGTCCGTCCGGCGTCCGTCCGTCGTCCGTCCGTAAACTTTTGCTTTAAATGACATCTCCTCATAAACCACTGAGCCAATTTCATCCAAACTTCACAGGAATGTTCCTTTGGTGGTCACCTTTAAAAATTGTTCAAAGAATTTAATTCCATGCAGAACTCTGGTTGCCATGGCAACCGAAAGAAAAATCTTTAAATATCTTCTTTTAAACAACCCTAAGAGCTAGAGCTTAGATATTTGGCATGAAACATCTTCTAATGAGTGTCTACCAAGTTTGTTCAAATAAAAGCCCTGGGGTCAAAATTGGCCCCGCCCCAGGGGGGTCATTGATTTTCCCTATATGCATATAGTAAAAACTTAAAAGATCTTCTTTTAAAGAACTGTAAGAGCTAGAGCTAAGATTTTTGGCATGGAACATCTTCTAGTGAGTGTCTACCAAGTTTGTTCAAATAAAAGCCCTGGGTCAAAATTGGCCCCGCCCGGGGGGTCATTGATTTTCCCTATATGCATATAGTAAACACTTAAAAAATCTTCCTTTAAAGAACTGTAAGAGCTAGAGCTTAGATATTTGGCATGAAACATCTTCTAGTGAATGTCTACCAAGTTTGTTCAAATAAAAGCCCTGGGGTCAAAATTGGCCCCGCCCCAGGGGGGTCATTGATTTTCCCTATATGCATAAAGTAAAAACTTAAAAAATCTTCTTTTAAACAACCCAAAGAGCTAGAGCTTAGATATTTGGCATGAAACATCTTCTAGTGAATGTCTACCAAGTTTGTTCAAATAAAAGCCCTGGGGTCAAAATTGGCCCCGCCCTGGGGGGTAATTGATTTTCCCTATATGCATATAGTTTAAACTTAAAAAATCTTCTTTTAAAGAACCGTAAGAGCTAGAGCTTAGATATTTGGCATAAAACATCTTCTAGTAAATGTCTACCAAGTTTGTTCAAATAAAAGCCCTGGGGTCAAAATTGGCCCCGCCCCAGGGGGTCATTGATTTTCCCTATATGCATATAGTAAAAACTTAAAAAATCTTCTTTTAAAGAACTGTAAGAGCTAAAGCTTATATATTTGGCATGAAACATCTTCTAGTGAATGTCTACCAAGTTTGTTCAAATAAAACCCCTGGGGTCCAAATTGGCCCCTCCCCAGGGGTCATTGATTTTCCTTATATGCATATAGTAAAAACTTATAAAATCTTCTTTTAAAGAACCCAAAGAGCTAGAGCTAAGATATTTAGCATGAGACATGTTCTAATGGGTGTCTACCAAGTATGTTCAAATAAAAGCCCTGGGGTCAAAACTGGCCCCGCCCTGGGGTCATTGATTTTCCTTATATACATAGCAAAAACTTAAAAATCTTCTTTAAAAAAACCCAAATAACTAGAGTTTAGATATTAAGCATGAAACATCTTTAAGTAAATATCTACAAAGTTTGTTCAAATAAAAGCCCAGGGGTCAAAACTGGCCCTGCCCGAGGGGTGTCATTGTTTTTTACTCTATGTGTATAGTAAAAACTTAAAAAATCTTCTTTTAAAAAACCCAATGAGCTAGAACTTAGATGTTTTGCATGAAACATCTTCTTATGGGTGTCTACCAAGTCTGTTCAAATAAACAAATAAAAGCCCTTGGGTAAAAATTGGGCCGGGGGGGGGGGGGCTATATACAGGTGAGCGACCTCAGGGCCATCATGGCCCTCTTGTTTATTTACTTTTTTTTGCATTGATTTTTTTTCTGCATTGCTTTGTTTTTGTTGGGGTTTTGGGGGGGATGTGAAAATATACTTTATAGCATTGTTTTGTGTTTTTGGGGATGTTAATGAAAACTTTATAGCATCTTGTTGTGTTTTTGTGTCGCCTTGAAAAGGTGACATATAGGGGTTACTTTTGTCGGCGGTGTCGGCGGCGGCGTCTGTGTCGGCGTCGTTGTCGGCGTCCCCTAAAGCTTGTCCGGAGCATAACTCAGTCACTATAAGTCTGAATGACTTCAAACTTGGTATGCATGCTTCTTTCAATAACCCGAAGTGCAGTGCACATGGACCGGTACTCTACAGTTCTTATTTTTTGAGTTATTGCCCTTTGTTAATTTTCATACTTTAATTTTGTCCGGGCCATTTCTCTTCAACTAAAAAAGCTATGGACTTGAAACTTCATAGGATGATAGATCTCATTATTAAGAAGTGCAGTGCACAAGAACCAGTACTCCGCACTTCCTTATTTTTGAGTTATTGCCCTTTGTTTATTTTCATACTTTATTTTTGTCCGGGCCATTTCTCCTAATGTATAAAAGCCATGGACTTGAAACTTCATAGGATGATAGGTCTCATTAAGAAGAAGTGCAGTGCACAAGAACTGGTACTCTGCATTTCTTTTTTTTTTTGAGTTATTGCCCTTTGTTTATTTTCATACTTTAATTTTGTCCGGGCCATTTCTCCTTAATTATAAAAGCTATGGACTTGAAACTTCATAGGATGATAGATTTCATTATTAAGAAGTGCAGTGCACAAGAATCGGTACTCTGCATTTCTTAATTTTTGAGTTATGGCCCTTTGTTAATTTTCATACTTTATTTTTGTCCAGGCCATTTCTCCGAAAGTATAAAAGTTATGGACTTGAAACTTCATAGGATGATAGATCTCATTAAAAAGAAGTGCAGTGCATAAGAACTGATACTCTGCATTTCTTATTTTTGAGTTATTGCCCTTTGTTGATTTTCTTACTTTATTTTTGTCCTGGTCATTTCTCCTCAAGTATGAAAGCTATGGACTTGAAACATCATAGAATGATAGATCTTATTGATAAGAAGTGCAGTGTACAGAAACTGCTGCTCTGCACTTATTATTTTTTTAGTTATTGCCCTTTGTTATTTTTCATATTTCATTTTTGTCCTGGCCATTTCCCCTAAACTACATTGTTCACAAGGCGACACATCCGACTCGCGGAGTTCTAGTTGATGTTAAAGCATACTTTATAACTTTTTTCGGCTTCAGTGCACATTTTGTTAATTGACAAAGCACCAAGTCAAATTGAGAGTTTTACAGCATAAACTGTGTCAAGGATTGTGTTCTTTGTAAGAATACAGTACAAGATACAATATAATGTATGATGAAATAGTTCCCTATTGATTGGTATTGATTTTAAGAAGTTACTGTACCTTGATAACAACATGAAAAATATTGTTTGTTGATATAATAATATACATGCACATTATAATTAAGTGGTTGTAGAAAAAAATGTATTTGCCTTTAAAAGAGAAAAAATAGATACATGATAATATATTATGTACAAATAAGTATAATAAATTTTGTTATAACAGACATAGTGTTTTTGTCATCTTTATTGATACCACTAATGTTTAAAACCAAACAGCTTTGCACCTTGTTGTTCTAATGTATTAGTTTTGAACAGAAGCTTGAAGTTAATTTATACGTCCATTATATTGTATGTTTTGTGAAAGACATTATGACATTATGCCCAATATATATCATGTGATCGATTATAATTGAGAGATTTCAGATGCTATAATTTGAAAATTAATTGCTTCAAAACTTATGTATGTGCCAAGATGAAACCGGTTTGTATATCTGAAAGACTTAGGTTGGAAATCTTATTTCACTGGTTAAATTTTCTTGATTTACACTTTGCCTTTTCTAATGATGTATATCATTATTAAGGTGGGTAAAAGTTTTATTGAAATTGTCCGAAACTCGGGATTTTACTCTCCAGGGACCTACACTTTTCTGCATTTCTAAATGGATTATGCTAGATCTATCTTGTTTCTACAGATTATGCATAATCCAGGTACATTTACATAGTATGTAAGTGAGAAATAAGAGTTATATCTGCTGTCTTCTTAATTAATAACACATTCTAAGTAACAAAGCATTATTTTATTACAATAGATAAGCAGATTATCAAAGGTAATGCAGATTATCACCATGTTGCGCATTATCCAAGATAAATCTACGATTCCCGCCAAAAATAATTTAGTTGTGTTGGCCAGAAATAGTGTTGTGCAACCCATACCGACTTCGGAATACCTTTCATTTGTCGGATAGTGCACCTGTCCGAATTTGTTTTGAAAACATGGCGCTGACACTCACCGAGGACTTGATACGGAATCGTGTCGGCTTGCAGCATGATAATTTAGGTAAAGTATTTATTTGTTTTGGCAGTCATTTCACAAATTATTTTGAATATTCATCACCAGATTTTTATTATTCGATTATTTGCATTTCATCATGAAAATAATTTTGACAGACGATTTTAGACAGGTTTTTCATGAAAAAAATCACAAAAAAATGTACCTATTTTTTTTGGTTGTGCGTGTTGTTATGTATTATTTTTCAATTAATTTGAAATTTCGTGTTCTCTATTGAATGCATGCATTAGTTAATTTCTAAAATGAATAATCTTGTAGCAAACCTAATGGCCTCCCTAAAATTTCGTTAGAGATGCAAGTCCAGACTTGTTGACCAATTGTTGGTAAGGAAAGGCTATAATCCTGTGTATTGATATTCAGTGGCGATAAATAGCCATAAATTACTGATGTGCAAATTTATTAAAGCCAAACCTATGAAGTTGAAGCACATATTTATTTGTTATAATAGATTAGTTGGGTTGTCTTCAAACAATTTGTGATCCTTTTACCAAAGTAGGTGATAATGAAACTCAATAAATGAAAACAGACAAATTTTGGAATTTCAATACCCTAGCACTTGTTCAGAAATTTAATATATTTTTATAAAACTGATTTGAAATTTAAATGGTTAAAGAACCCAAAAGTTTAATATCTGGATACATTATAGTAAAGACTTGATTGTAACAAAAAAAACAGGTTTTAAAATGAGAAGTTAAATTTTCACACAAATAACACAGTATTAAAGAGTATTAGCCAGTCCATTAGGTTATATTTGAAAACTGTGGTTTAACAGTTAAATGCTGGGTAATCCAACTGTATTTGTCTGCGGACAGAAGTTTGGATCACATTATTTTCAATGTGAGGTATTGCATGCATATGACTGCATGGGAAGTCAATAAGACGTACGTGTGGGTGAAAGGGCATTTTTTATTGCAATTAGATTTCAGTTCATCAAGGTGTTCATACAAAATGATGGAAATATTGAGGAAGAAATTATTGAATTGGCCAGAATCAAAGTTATCTATTATCAATCTGTAAAAGAAAATATAATAAAATATTAAGATGTTATCACCAATAAGAAAAAGATTTTATGTCCAGATAATTATGATACATGAAAATAATTGTCAAATGATAACACTGAGAGTTAATACTGTTGATTTAATAGAAATCCAGCCTTATAAAATATGTCATTGTAAATAAATCTTCTTTTAAAAACAAATACATTTATGAGCTGGTGTGAGGAAGTCATAACAATTATGGGAAATTTATTTAAAAAATGAGGACATTTTAACAGTTTTGTCAATCGGGAAACTGATAAAAAGACGAATATAGAACAGGTAAGCGCATATTAGGGTCAGTTGTGACCAAAACTATATATCAAAGTCACCAGTGTTTTTTGGGTCTGGACTTAGTTTTGGTCGCAACTGACCCTAATATAGTCCTGGCACTATTACAACCTCCTTTGTTTGGAATAATTTAGACAAAAATAATTCTAAAAAGATTAACATTATTTGGCCAGGAAATATTTTTATTTAAAATGGAATTTGAAAGCCTAATTTTTTCAGACACTCAGAAAATAATGAAATTTACATTTCTTTGGTTCTAAACTGATGTTTGAATAACTATTGTAAATAATTAACCAATTTGGTACTGTCAGTTAGGGCCAGTGTACAATTTCATTCTAGTATATTTTGAAAACCTAGAGCTGGATTTTAAGTGCTCATCATGCACGTTCAGTGTTCACCGGGGAAAATTTGATTAAATGTTTGTTTATGGCTTTAAACATGTAACTTCAATTATAGCATCGAAGATATTACATTGAAAATAAATTCATTGATGAGTTTTACCTTCTTTTGAAAAGGTCATGGGTCATATTGGATTCGTGGCAGTTTAACCTATGACAAAGTATAAAACTAGTAGTCATAAAATAAAATGATTAAAAAGCATTGACAAAGAAGCTTCAAACTGTGTATATAGATGCACCTTGATGAGTTCTACCTCCTGAATCATTTTCAGATTAATTGCACAATTATTGTCCCACAACTGTCATTGTTTTTATTTCAGAGGATGTTAAATCATTGGCCCTGCCAGGTACATATCATGAGAAAGTTGTCAGCCTTGGTTCATCTCTACGAAAGTTTTCCAGACTGAAACATCTCGATCTTTCTAGAAATAATATATCTAGCCTTCAGGTAGGTAACATGTTTTGATGACCAGGTTTAATTTCATTTGACTAATATTTAAGGGACCATCAGAGATAAATGAAAAATCATTTGAGTTCGAACATTTAATCCTGTGAATTAATGGATAGTACTACAGCAAACATTAAATATAGCATTCTTTAACTGAATAAAGATTGACTGTGATATACTAGTATTTGTCATCCTATTGAGAAATTCATTTTAGAACTTCATTT